GCCTTTCAGGAAGCATCCAGCCCTGAAATACTGGGAATCTATGGTCTTAACAACCATAATTTTTAAAGCATAAATTACATTCAATGTATAGGTTTAAGGAGAGCAGAGAAATATGCAATGTGTCTGTCTCCATTAAAGCTTTTGAGGATAGAGTGTTGGTATCGGAGTCGAGCTATCTGGACTAGTACTCACTCAGTGGATCATGACTTGCCTTGGCAGTGAGGAACATTAGTTACCCTGACAGTGAAGCCAAGGAGCTGATTGGACAAGCATCTCAAACCTGTCTCTCTCTGCAAACCCAGTTCTTTCTCATAGTAGTTGTTGTGACGTGCCATCAAGTCAGTTTCAACTCATAGCAACCCTGTATAACATTTCCGAGGGTGTACCTCTTTGTGGTATCAGAAAGCCTCATCTTTCTCCCAGAGTGGTTGGTGGGCTTGAACCACCCACCTTGTAGTTTGCAGTCCACTGTTTATCATACCAAGCCATTGCACTCCCCTTTCTTACAGTAGAAGGTAGAAAATGCAGTTAGATATAATTTTCTTAAGAGATTACTAAATATCTGGACGCTCATTTCCTGTATCTTATTTCAATAATTAAAACTTGAAACAAAGTCAATGTTGGTCAAAGAAAATGGGAAAGAAATTTGATTTCTAGGCTTTTCAAGAAAATACTTACAAGAACAGAACCTAAGCCAGAATCTTATGTTTCCCTTAAAAAGGTGTTGAAAAGGACATCATAAAAGATGCTTAGAGATGAAAAAGAAATTATGCAGATCGATGAGGTCAGAAACATTGGCTGACCCTCAATGGCATGCCAATGTTTATTACCAGCTCGAGACCCTCGATTGACATCACATTCATCAACTAATATCACAAGATTATTTGTAGCTGCCTTTCCCATATTTCAATAGACTTAGTAAATGCTTACTATTTACTCTCTGGTTTGCTTGAATTTATAAATGTTCCAAAATGTACAGTGTTTTATTACTTTATGTGCACACACACATGTTGTTGTTAAGTGCCGACCCTGTAGCGGGCTTCCGAAGAGCAACTGGTGAGTTTGAACCACCAGCCTTGTGGTTAGCAATTCAGTGCTAATCCTGCAGTATAACACCTATATACACACCAGAGATTTCTAAAAATATTAGCAATATTATATCTGTGCCAGTTCAAAATATTAAGTCCTACTTTGGGTTTTTCAACAGCAAAGGGGGCACAATTTTGCTCATCTGGATAATTTTCAGAATGACTTTCAATATATTGAATCCATCCATACGCATGCACAATTATAAAGTTGCAAATGCAATATAAATACAGGACTTCAATTCTGCTGTGGGAGTTGGCCAATTTCTCATCCATGCTGAGATGTTATAAAGGTGTGTTTAATCCTGCAGCATTTGAGTACTAGAGTTGGGCAGCTTAAGTCTGAATAAAGCCTTTGCTTGTTGTCTGTTGTACAGCCCCCAACAAGCAGAGTATTCCAAAGGTCTGCTTCTTGGTAGAGTCATTTGGGAGCAGTCAACACAGTGCTGAAAAGCTTCTCAGAAGTCTGTTTTCACTCTTTTCCCCTCCCTACTCATTAGGTAAAAGAAACAAAAATTGTGTTTTGCCTGAATGTCCATTTCTCCTCTATTTATGGTAAATAGATGGTGAAAAGGAGAAAAGAAAGCAACCATTGAACTGCTGCAGCTGGCCACCTGGTTAATTCCACAACTTGCAGACTTCCTATACCCACAGCATGCACTATTTCCTCGGCCACTTGATTCCCAGCAAAGTACGCCAGCACAGCAAGTCACTCCAAAACCAGCTTTGTGCTCATGAGTGCCTACAAGTAACCTCACTGGCAGATCCATGTGGCCTGTCCCAGTCTCCCCACAGGAAGACCAACTGTGGGCCTTCTCTGGGGGGTGTTCTTAGGGGAAATGAGGTATCTGTCCAGCACAACTTTGTGTTGACTTAGGTGTGGTTCTATACCCAGGACTTTCTCTGGCTGCCTCCAAGGAGGCATTTCTGAGTTTGATGTCAACTTGGGAGTCAAGAATGGCCTCTCTTTATGATATACAGTGTGCCTATTATCAAAAGTCACTGGGAAAAGTCCTGGAGACCCAAGTATAGTTGATTTTTATAGCACTGAGGCAAAGGCCAAGTTCATGTCTCATTCCCTGTGACTTCACTTAAGTGCTAGAAAGTATGAAAAAATGGGTATACATTTCTATGCACCTATCTCTGGTAGCGTAGTGGTTACAAATCGGGCTGCGAACCTTAAGGTCAGCAGTTCGAAACTACCAGCCACTCCGCATGAGAAAGATGAGGCTTTCTACTCCCATAAAGATTTACACCCTTGGAAACCCTGTACAGGATCGCTATGGGTCGGAACCGACTCGATGGCACTTAACAACAACAACAACAACAACATCCCTATGTTGGAGTCCTGGTGTGGCGCTGTGGGTTGATGCGCCAGACTGCAAAGCCGTTTGAACTGCAAGGTCGACGGTTCAAACTCACCAGCTGCTCCTTGGAAACCCTATACAGGGTCGCTATGGGTCGGAATCGACTCGATGGCACTTGACAACAACATCCCTATGTTGCTCTGGTTGTGTAGTGTTTACGAATCGGGCTGCAAACCTTAAGGTCAGCAGTTCGAAACTACCAGCTGTTCCGCAGGAGAAAGATGAGGGTTTCTGCTCCCATAAAGATTTACAGCCTCGGAAACCCTGTTTAGGGTCGCTATGAGTCGGAACTGACTCCACGGTACATAACAACAACAGCATACTAATGGGATTCAATTGCTGCATTTGTGCTGCCCTGTTCTCAGATGAGGACTATCCTAACGCTATTACCACCCTCATTACCAATTTCACCATCACCTCTAACCAGCCTTGGGTGCTGAGGGTTCCAACAGCTTTGAGCTAAGACTGCAGTTTCCGCAGTTCCAGGCTCACTCGAGTTCCAGCTGCACAGAGGAACCCCCATTTCCATGTGGGGCACACCTGGCACCATTTGAAGCATCCACCAAATATTCTGAGATGCTTATAGAGATACCAGAGAGCAAAGATGTCCTCGCTGGAATCTCTCACCACTTGGGGCAGCCCTGAACAAGTTTGCCCAATTTTATATACTTAGACAGGCATGAAATGGATTTTCTGAATGTCTGGCTTTTCTTCTTATTGGCGTCTCTCTTCATTTTTGCTGCTGCTTCCTTTTTTTACTCCCCCTCCATGTTCTGCCTTTTTTCCCCTCTCTCTCCTACTGTTTCTGATCCAACAGGGTAGCAATGCATTTTCCAGGAAGCTGTTTTAAAATACTTTCTTCCCTAGTCTTCTTAGTGGAAAGGCAGGCCATTTCAGCCTCCTAAGGCTCATTTAGAAAGAGAGAGAGAAAAGTAAGTCCCTTTTGCTTATGTTTAAGTATAATTATAACCATATCTTTGATAGTTTCTTCCTAAATTAGAAATTTCTCAGGTTACTAGGAACTCTAAACTTGGTAGCTCCCTCTCCCCTTTTTATTTCCTCCCTTATTGTTAGTAAGAACTTTCTATCCCTCGGGTGGGCCCTCAGGCAAGGCTGTCCTTTGACCTGTTTGACCAGATGGAAATACTGCCCCCAGACTCAGGAGTCTCGAGTCTCGGTTACTCTCAGTGCCTGGCTACCCACCCACGCCGCTGCTACCCCGAACACACTTTTTGGAAATACCCAGCTCAGGTCTTTCAAGTTTGAGCACAAAAGGCATCTACCGCTCACCTTTCATGTGAATGCTGCTCCACCAGTAATGAAATTTAACAAAGAGCAGGACCCCTTATTACTGGGCTGTCGAATCTGCTTACTGAAAACCCCAGAAAAATTAACACCAGGAAAGAAAGGCTAGTCCTGACCGGGGAGAGTAAATACCACACTGGTAGGGATCGTGCCTGAGACGGAATGTAATGGCGTCCCTGAAAAAGGTTTACAAATGCATGTGGCTCAGTTCCATGTTAGTCCAGCGGCAATCAAAATAAACTGGGCCTGTCAGGAACTGGGGCCGAAAGGGTGTTGTGAATAGACTTCTTTTGTAAAGTTGTCACTTAACACACCCAAAAAAAAACCCCAACCAAGGGTAGCGTCGGCTCTGCAGGCGCTGATTTCGGTTAAATCCCTCCCTTGATGACCTCAATTTAATTTGGCTAGATACGCAAGTTTCTGTTGCTTTTTCCTAGTTTTCTGGAAAAGAAATTAAAAATGGGGGCGACGCAGATGTTGCTCACTGTGCTGAAGGGCAGGACATACTGGTAGAAACCTTTCCGAGCTGACTGAGGTATCTCACAGCCTTCTGAATGAAAGCGTTGTTACCTGGAAGTGTTTTTAATATACAGTCTGGCATTAACCTGAGGGGCCAGGGGAAAGAATCAGCTCTTTCACACACACAGCTGTGGGTGCCTCGTACTCTGAGGTCCATGTTAATATTGGGACCCCCTCACTGAGCCTGTACCCCCCTTTGGAGGTGACAGTCCCCAAATCCCTCATTGGAAGGACCAGTTGACTTTATTCTAACTCAGCTCAACAAATACCTCAAAATGATTACCCAGCCTTGCCTGCCCTTCCAGAAGCCCTCCTTAATTGACATGGGTAGTATCAGTTTTTGCATTTTGTTTTGTTTTCAGTTTTCCAGAACATGTTCTTTTTACCTTTGGTGTATGACTACTTTGCCTCCTTTATGGACCTACTGCTACTGAGTCCTGAGTTAGAACTAAAACCAAATCCAGGCCCACAAAGGTTAAAGGTCAGGTGCATAGACAGAAACATTTAGCTAAGTTGAAGAAATCCAGCCTACCAAGCGTGACACCCTTTTTAATTGCCCCAAAGGGAAGGTCCAGGCCCGGCCTCTACCCAACAGGTTACGACCATGGAGGTTGTTTTAAGACAGTTAGCTGTATCTCTTAGGGCTAAAAAGTATTGTGGGTTCTTCTGTGTCCTAGGCTAAAGGGGAGGGAATAACCTATTTCATTTTATTTTTTTTTTCCAGTTCTCTCAGGCCAGGCACACCACAGCCCTTTGAAACGATCTGTGTCCCTTACCCCACCCATGAATGTGCCAAACCAGCCTCTAGGACATGGATGGATGTCTCATGAGGACTTACGAGCTAGAGGACCCCAGTGCCTCCCTTCCGATCATGCCCCCCTGTCTCCACAAAGCAGTGTAGCCTCTTCAGGAAGTGGTGGGAGTGAACACTTAGAAGATCAGACTACTGCTCGTAACACATTCCAAGAAGAAGGTAGTGGTATGAAAGGTGAGTGACTAAACCGAGAAACCGCTGGGGACAGAATCCCGTCCTTTATTCAGCATCAGAGGGTAAAAGAGAGAGGTAGTCAGCAAGACAGGAGGACCCCCACCCCCACCCCCAAGACTTGTGCAGTGTGTCCGTCCCTCTCAGAACTCCAGGATGAGTCCTGGAGGAAAGGTCTTGGATTTCCCTTCCGGTACTTCTTGCCAAAAACTAGGAAGCAGGAATCAGAGACAGAGAGCTCAGCATCCTCTTTTTTTTATTTTTTTCCTGAATGCTCTGGCTTCCAGACAATGAAATGAATTACAGCTCCCAGTGAGACGTTTCTCCGGATGCATTTACGTTCTTCAGCCCACCCCAACTCCCCATTTATAAAGATGCCAAGCTGCTCCAGCTTTCTCCCTTGTTGCTGTGGTCAGGAAACTGTCCATAATTTAGAAGAACAAACCACATGCTCTTTTATATATATATATATATAAATCTCTCCTAATGCAGAATCTCTTTCTCTCTCCTTTTCTCCTTGATATCCAAAACAAGCCTTCCAACTCTTGTCTCTGCCTCTGCTTAAGGGACATGAAAATCCCGCTCAGACTCCCAGACAGTGCTTTAAGCTTGATAACAGATTTGCATGCATACAGGTGATAATGGCCTTCCTGCAGTATAAACAAATGTGCCTATTGTGCCCAGTAAATCTGCCCCCTTCAAAAGAGAGATACATCAGGAGATAAACATTTCCAAATCACTCATAAGGTCAAAAAGGGTATATACAATTTGTATTTTTACACTGGAGTTGATCAAGGGCTGGGAGGTTCTTAGGGAAAGTTTCTCATCTGAGACCCGTAATGACAATGTCCAGTAGTGAAACAATAACCAGTTTGGCTTCAGGGCTAAGAGGCTGTGGGAGGCTGGTATCAGTAGTCCAGAAGTTTCCCTTGAAGAGGATCAGTGTTGATATAGGAGGCTCTGAACCAGAAGACTGGCATAGAAAGCATGTCCAAGACCACCCTGGTGCCAGGTATACAGAAGAGGCACCATGCTGAAAAATATAAAGTCTGTCAACTGAGATGAGGCTGAAATGAAGCCGCTTTCTCTGGCATAGTCCTGAAATCTTGTGAGCTGCTAGGCCTGCACCCCACACCATCCTCCCCAGGATGGCTCCTGTGCTGAGGGCCCAGCACACATGGGATGTGTCTCAGTAGTCTCCTCTGGTGTGACTATAAATGGGTCTTTCAAGGTCTTTAACAGTCGGCCAAAACACTGGGCAATTTGCAGGGCATATGTGCCCTCTTTATAAGTTAATGTGTCAGAATTTTGGAGAACTAGCAAAGCCCATTTCTGAGTTTTTGCTACTAAAGCGATCCTCGCCATGCTTATCTGCCTAAGCAGCCAAGTCACAGGTGACAGGTAGGTGAGGTTCAGGCATGCTCTAAGTGTACTTGGCTGAGCATCTGTACTGCTGGGGAATCAAAATACCTGAGGGATAAAAGGAGGGTGAAACAGCTGTTGGCTTTGGACTAGCTGCTTTTCAGGTGAAGTTTGTGTGTGTATGTAAGACATGTTTTCAAGAGAGCATATGATGCTGTTCTAATTGGTGATGCTGTGAGCAGGAGGTGTTGGCCTTGGTGTTGAAGGGCAAGGAGCATTCACTAGGAAGACCATTTGTCAGGATACAAATCTTGCCCAGATAGAAATGCTGATTCTACTGTCTGGCTTTTGGGGGTTTGTTTCAGGCTTCCTTCCTTCCTTTTCATTTAAAAAACAATCTTATGCCTACCTTAGATGTTCTCCATAAGTAGGCAAAGAAGGGCTCAACATGTGCTGGCATGTTCAGGTGAGAATAAAGATCACATTTTTAAAGAGAAATGAATGAGAGAAAAATTGAATACATGTCCTATGCCTTTCTTAGTATAAAAGCCAACATATTCCAAAGCTCACTGACTAACCCATCTCTGAACTTAATTCAACTTAATTCCTTTCTTTAGAATTGGTGAGAATTGTTTCCTCAATCAGAAGATGACTCTGATATCCCAGATTTTCTGTATAGGCCCAAGGAGTGTGGTCAGAAAGGCAGACTATTTGAGGATTGAAAGAGACAGAGAGCCTTTTTCTCTGTGTTTCCACCTTCTGCTGGCCTATTGACTTTTCCTGTTTTCAGAGTTTTACATCAGGATTGAAAGCATAAAGCCCTCAGAAAATTAAATGACAAAAAAATCACTGAAGGAAGAAACATTATATAGAGAGAAAGATGTTATTTTGTGGGAAAAGTAGACTGTATTTGCAGTTCAGTTGACGGATCAGATTTAATCTCCATACCTCAAACAGCAACATTCCAAAGTGTCAGGGGCCAAGGTTTGTTAAACAGGAATGCCTGGCTCCACTCTCCAGCCCTGCCCTTAGAGAGTCACCATTTATGACTCCACCATGGAAGATCTCTCAGGATGGCCTCGCTGGAGGGCGCTGAAGAATTCCCCATCCCAAGAGTCCATCATTTGATTCCCAAGCCCAAGATGAGACACCAGCTTCTATTTCCATTTAATTTCCACTTTCTAAGAAATAAAACATGAAATCCAGCCAAGTACTTTCAGAGAAATCCAGTTCTTCCTCTCAGATCCACATTACTTCTTTCCTGTGGCCGAAGTACTTTGCAGGAACATTATAGCCCTTGTAAAGCTACCTGCTGGTTCAGTCAGGATTCTGTCTTCTTGTTGTTCTATTTCTAATTTCTAAGCCCCCAGTTTATGATAACAAGGAATCTGTTGTAGAATTTGGAGGAGTTCCCAAATCTACAAGGAAAGTCACTGCCATCCCCCACCTCCATTTCCACCCCACACCTTGGGAAAATGATAAAAAGTCACCATAATTGAACTTAATTTAGTATAGCTTCATCTTCTTTGTTGACAGTCTGTGCGAACCTGGCTAAAACGCCATGCTCATTTGCTCCCTCCTTTTCATGTGGACAGACTGACCAGGTTTGGCTACAAATTGTTCTTTAAGAGTGTACCTTTTGGGTCAAGAGTAGAATAAACCTCACTACCCAGCATTCTTCCTGTTTTTATTTTCCACTTAATCTGGTTCTCTTTTTGTCTTGGTGTCAGCACACCTTGCCAGGGATCATCACACTATGTTCTCTCTCAAAATGACCAACTCCTGCTCTCAGAGGATTAATATCATCTACCCACTTGGCTTTTCCTTTTATAGTAAATCCCCATTCTGACGGTGTACGTCTGCTCCAAAGCACAGATTGGATGTTCCTTGGGTTTGGAACTAATATTTCAGGCTTAAAAAGAAGGAGAGTGGAGGCTAAACGTGGAATTAACCCAGGAGAAGATAAAAATGGAACTAGAATATGAAAATTTCCTCCTTTAACTTTCCCCAAGGAAGCTCCTGGCTTTATATGTTTGGACTAAATATGCTGATATGGTTTCTAAATTCAGTTGTCCTTGTTCTTTTCAAAAACTTCACTGTAACTTATCCCAGGAGAAGGAGTCTTGATTCTTTCTGGGTTGGTATTCAATTATAATATCCTTTCCCTGGGTAACACATGAGCAGCTTTCCTACCTTTTCTCTCATACAAAGTCTTCAACTGGCCAAGAGGGGGAAAAACAAACCACCAGACATTTTCATAATTTCCTAGAAAGAAGAAAAAAATATAGAAGTCAACTATGGAGGAAGCACATTTGCCCTCCTGTCCTCAGAAATGATGGATGGATAAACTCCACGCCTGAAGACTTGTTAAAATGCCTGGACTGTTTTGAATAATGTGGCAATGTTATGTGGAGCAGAGAGAAGGGAAAAATGACTGATTAGCAGGTTTCACTTTAGTCTTCATTCAAGTCAATTGACTTTTTTTCACGTAGCACTTGCTGAAATAGGCTTTGGTCTAGCCACTGGGAAGACAAAGGCGAAATACGTGGTTTCTGAAGCGGCTCACTATCACAGTGAAAAGCAAACATGTAGTTTTTGCAGATGCATTGGTGTAGAAATAGGCTGTCTCCGAGACTTGTTCTGGTGGTACAAGCAGTAAAGAGGGCCCCTCATTCAGAGCAGAAGGAAGTAAAAAAAAAACTCCTGCAAGAAAAGAGGCCCAAAACTGAGTTTCAGGGGGTGATTACAGGTGAACCAAGTATACAAAGAAAAGGAGTTCTGTACAGAGGGAACAGCATATGTGATGGCATGGTAGTAAGAGAGTTTGGCCAAGAAGATTCTATGGCTTAAGTATTCAGGGCAGACAGGAAAGAGTTCTAGAGAGTTCTCCTCTAGAGAGGAGAAAGTCAGATGCAAGACGATGGGAAAGATTGTGGCTTTTATCTTAAAGCTAGATGTTGTTGAATGTGTTTCTGCAGCAGAATGACCTGCTTCCATTTTGGTATTAGAAATAGGACTCTAGCAGTCCATTGTGAAATATCTCAAAGTGAGAAAGGGGCAAAGAATTCTGGACTTGGAGACCAGTGAGAGTTGAAGAGAATGTATCTGAAATTGAAGAAGAAAATGAAGCTTGATCAAGGCAAGTGGAAATTACATTAGAAGAGGCAAAGGAATGGGTTTATGGGATCTTCATGAGATAGAATTGAAAGATCTTGACAACTAATTGAATATAAACACTGATGGGGAAGAAGGGAATGTAGTAAGATGCTCAGGTTTCTGCCTTAGACAGTTCGATAACCAACCCTCATTATGATCTAGACCAGGAGAAGCAGGTTGGAGAAGGGAACTCATTTGGGGCATGTTGAGTTTGGGAACCTGTAGAATCCTCCAATGGTGATGTGCAAACCAGGATCAAAGTATCCTTTCATCATCTGCACAGGTTAAGTATGGGGCTTGCTTATAGTAAAAGTTCAGTTTGGGGACTGAATTCCAGATTTTGGGGTAGAAAAGTCTGTAGATACAGGTTCCTAAAAAGTGAAGAAATCCATAACTTTAACTGCCAGTGTGAGAGAAGTATCTGGTCGAGGTCTGTTTCTCTACGCGAATATCCGCCTTCCCACTAGGAATTACTATTAAATGTG